CACACTGCCGGGGTCCCGTATGTGCAATCAAAATGGTTCGGTTTCCTTGATCTATCAGCTGAATTTATATCATGTCCGTACCATTTTGGAAGAGGAAAATCAGACTGTTCGCCAAAGACATTCATGTTAACTGTTCCACCCTATATACCGAAGACGTGAAAATCAAGAAACTCAAATCTGCTTGCATGTCAGTGACAGCTTCGAACGAACGAAGGGCAAGGTCGCCACCGGAATAAGAAAAGACAACCGCGATCCAATCACAGCGTTTTACGCTAGAGATAGGGAATGTTATTGTTCACAGTCGTACATTGTAAATCGATTTATAGATCTAGCTCGATTATATGTCTGTAGAAGCTCTATGCATAACGCTAGAGATAGGGAATGTTATTGTTCACAGTCGTACATTGTAAATCGATTTATAGATCTAGCTCGATTATATGTCTGTAGAAGCTCTATGCATAACTTATATAGAATGCAAACCGAATTTGGTGCGCGTGACTATCTTGTTTGGTTTAATAAAGTGTTTGTAAATATCTCTCGTTCTCATGAATTTCTTCAGTTCTGCCTTGTAATCGCAAAATGAATGACGTCTCGCGTTTTTTTATGAATGAAAAAAGTAGTCCCGGTTTGACGGAAGGACACGGTTATCCAATCAAAAGGAATAAAACAAGGTCAACCTTGTACGACACACGTGTGACATTCGGATTTAGTATCTTACCACCTGTATCTTCACCACGTGGGTAATAAATAAATTTATCAGGGATAATGAAGATCACACAGCCTGTTGTGACAATGTTGAGGGTGTACAAGTTTTAGATAAGACTATGGAGGAAATTAGACCTGTAATTAATGATCTCCCCAACGGCAAAGCGCCAGGACCTGATGGAATTTTAAATGAACATTTAAAAAGTGTATCTCACATACTTTTACCATATATCCACAGGTTATTTAACAAAATATTATCTGTTGGAGTTTAACCATCACAATGGACAGAGGCGATAAAATTTCCTATTCATAAAAAAAGGTGAAAAAACAGATCCTAATAATTATAGGGGAATATTTTTGTTATCAGTAATTGGAAAGGCCTTTACCAAAATACTAAGTAATAGACTTGTTGGCTGGTGTGAAGAAAAAGAAAAGCTGTATGAGGAACAAGCTGGCTACAGAAATGGATATAGCACCATAGACAATATATTTGTATTACAATCAGTTATTCAGAAATACCTCTCCAAGTCAAAAGGGCGCTGCTCTTGTGTATTCATTGACTTTTTGAAGGCATTCGACAGCGTCAAGTACCGTTTATTGAAATATGTACTTTTACATCTCTGTATAGTCAGCTAAAATCATGTGTTCTAGTTAACACGTCCTCACTGTCTGAGTTCTTTGAGTGTACAATAGGAACCAGGCAAGGGTGTATGATAAGCCCACTCAATGAGTATGCTGAAAACATCACTTTGATAATGTTTGCAGATGATATTGCTAATGTTGGAGATTCTGTTAGAAGGCTACAGCACCAGATAGATTGTCTAGCAGGATTTTGCAGTCAGTATGGGATGAGGGTTAATTTGGAGAAAACGAAAGTCATGGTATCCCGAAGAGGTGGTATAGTAACAAAAAAGGAAAAGTGGTATTATGATGGTATTCCTCTGGAAGCAGTATCCGCTTATAAGTATCTTGGTGTGTTTTTCACTCCTAAGCTCTCATGGAGTTTGGCAAGAAGTACCCTGGCACAACAAGGAGAGAAAGCTCTGTATAATTTGTTTGGATTCTTGAAAAAGTCTAAGCTTAACATTAAAGAGTCTTTGTTTCTATTTGATAGGATGGTTTCTCCAGTTTTTGTTATGCATCATGTGTTTGGGGATTTGAAAGTGATCAAGTTATAGAAAATGTGCACTGCAAGTTTCTTAGAAAAGTTCTCCATGTGAATTCAAACACTCCAGCAGCAGTCTTGTGTGGGGAGCTAGGGACATGTTCAATTCAGTTAAGTATTGGCTAAAAATATTAAACATGTCCACAAATAGGCATCCTAAGGCTTGCCATCTGATGTTATATCAGTTAGATGGGGCTGGTAGAGCCACATGGGCAAATGGAATAAAATATCTGTTGAACATACTTGGATTTGGTCTAGTTTGGTTTGAACAGGGTGTTGGTGACATAACTCATTTCCTTAGAATTTGTAGGGAAAGGTTGCAGGATTGTTGGAAACAAACATGGGCACTATCTATAAGTGAAACAAGTAAGCTTAATAATTATTCCATTATCAAATCAGTGTTGGAGCCTAAAAGGTATTTGCACAATATGAAGAGTAAAAATTTAAGAATTGCTCTTAGTCGATTCAGATGTGATTATCACAAACTGGCTGTTGAAAATGGGCGGCGGGGAGGAGTTGCTAGAGAGGATGGAGTATGTAAATATTGTTTTGATAATCTGAGTGTATCAATTGCGGAGGATGAAGTTCATTTTATTACATCATGTTACTTGTATAACAAATTCAGAAATATGCTTTTGCCAAGTATTTGCACTAGTAATCTTTGTTCTCTCGACAAATTTGAGAAAGTTATGACAGATAATTCTTTGCCAGAATCTTTAGCACTGTATATTGTTAAATGCACGAAGGCAAGGCAGGTTTATCTCAGAGGTTAAAGGGAGACAACTTTATATATAGTTTACGAGTGCTTCACTTACTTTTGATGATTATAGTAGATCTTTTCTTAATGATTGTAATTGTTGTTTGTAATTTAAAATTGTTGTGACTTGATTATATACACATGTACTCTGGGCTGGAGGCCTTATTACAGAAGAAAAGAGTCTTGAAGTCTTGAAGAACTCATCACCTAAACCAAATGATTTACAAAATTGACATTTTCTTTCAGTTAAAGGTACTTTTCCAATCTTCCAGTTTCAATTGGGAGATTGTGATTGCAGCTGTTAAGTCTTATTAAGTCTCGCCAAATACTCACTTTCACGTTTAATTTTTTTCTCAACTATGGTATACGCGCCTCCTTTGGGCGATTTATCTCGTTTGGCTTTCCAGTACAGTAAACTGATATCATTTCATTTTTTCTTTAAACTATGTGATTGCGAAAAGAAATTTAGGCCTAGTTTGAATACACTACGTGAAAAGGCACATCTCCAAAACTTCGATTTAACTTCCATATACCGTTGTATTGAAATTTACCGTTTAGTTATTTAATTCAAAATTAAAATTCCAATCCCTACCTCCAATAGTCTTTATTGCACAATGCTTTGCTTTATACTCATACATTTTGTCTCTATAGATGACCCAGTCGTCTGAGGCGCCACATTTCGCTGTGCAGAGTTGCGTCCCTTTAGGCACGCCAGCAACCTGTGATAGTGGTTTCGAAACCCTGTTCACCCTGATTCTGTTTCAAGGTTTTTCAGCACCATACTCGTGGTTTCACCAAAGCTGTATAAAGGACATACAATTTTATTTGTGGAAAAAAATCCACCAGCTGACCTTTGGCTTACCTTTAACATTTATCTGAGATGCTGGTATATAACTGAAATATCAAAGTTGGATTAGACCAAATTAATCACACGATGTGTATTAACATATTGTTAGCGGTAGCCTTTGTCAATAAATCCTCAGAACAGAACTCAGAACAGAAGATTTGGCATTTAAAAGAGGCGCCATACATGTTTATTTACCCGTGATGAAACCGGGTTGGAATTGGTCCCCAACGACCTATGCCTGTCGCTCAAGGCGACTGAATGGATCATTTAGTCGCCACCGTCGTATCCAGATAAAATATTGCAAAGCAGTGTTAACAAAAAGCAAAGAAAATACAAACACCGTTATTTCTTTCCACAGAAATGGCTTCACAAGGTGTACGCGTGAATGCAGTCCAGTGAGTACAATGAGAAAGGCAATACTTATGAAGAAAGTAATATTGCCTTTGTGTATGACCGTGTGTGTCGGTGTGTGGATGGTGTTTGATCGGGTCGGATATTTAATATTGAGGGAAATACGCCAAGAATATGCAGCATGTTTTCTGTCACCAGTATTTTCATGTATTTTGATTCAATCAGATTGCACGGTTAGTGAAAACTTGAAACTCAACTCTGTTCAACATGTCCAGTATTCAATAGACGTTCATTTCTAACTACAGGTTATCAGTTTCATAATATGCATTTATAGGTGTCAATCATTAATCATGTTCTGTATAACGTAAGCAGATATCGCACAAGTCTTCCACTTTTACATTTTTGTTTGTTTGTTGTTTAACGCTACACTCAGCAATATTACAGCTGTATGACGGCGGTCTGTAAAATAATCGAGTCTGGACCAGACAATCCAGTGATTGACATCATGAGCATCGATCCACGCAATTGGGATCGATGACATGTATCAACCAAGTCAGCGAGCCTGACCTACCCGATCCCGTTAGTTGCCCTTTACAACAGGCATAGTCGCCTTTTACCGCAACATCGACCGGGCCACACATTTCAGCAGGAGGTAAGCTAAAAATTAATGTGTTTTAAATAATATTTTATTCAGGAAACATTAGCTGGAATTAGTTACCTGAACAGACAACTGAATATTTATATTTCCTGAACAGTACTATCGGGACAACATACTGACACCCTTTTTTGTCCCGTTTGCAAGGCGTGGGTCGACATTTTGTCTTCAGGGAGACATACACAGTATGCCTCTTCGAGTGAATGAATGTTTGACAAATCGTGGCGGTATTACGCACTACTCATCCAAAAACGTCAACTTCCTATTTTACCCCTATCGTCCTTCAAGATCGTTGGCGGTCATGACATCTCCAGTCATACTTCGCTACTGATTGCAATGTGTTCACAATTCGTTCCTTATTATCATCAGAGACCATATACAGATATGGTCTCTGTTATCATACCACATAACTAGAATCTTGTAAAACCTGTGCCAAGGACTGCTTGTTGACCAGGGATTGTTTCCGTACAATGGACAGATCATTCTTAAAGTTGCGCCTTCAGTGCCGGTCACATTAAGGTTATTCTTTGCCATATGCAGGCCTGCAAAAGTTGAGTTCAATGTTTATCTCAAGCCTCTCCAGTTGTTTTGATGTACTTTCAGTCAGCGTCTTTGTCGATAGCATTTCCAGGTTTTGTACAACGTGCTCATATGCGATAAGCTGGACAACACATGATGTATGCTAAATACTATAAACAGTAGTGTTTACCAGAGTTAGTCGTTTGTCTAACATCTTGACATCTGACTACCGTATTCATCTGTGGCATGTTCAGCCTGACATCTGACTTATTGAATCCAGCAGCGTACGGTTCAATTGTAAATTATTATTCCCGTTCCCTAGGTTTATTTCTGCTTGCAACACAGCCAAGTCATTTGATGTTAGCAGCATGAGAGAGCAGCATGTTTTCAACCTAACTTTGCAGTAAGTATCTTCACCAATTCTGTCCCGGTTTATATCTCTTATTATAATTGCTCTCAAATCTTAACAATTCTTGCAATGAGAGCTATTGGTTTCAAGGCATTATAATCAGTTAAAACACTGCAGGTCCACAGGTCAACTGGTCAGAAGATCAACATTAATTGAAGTAATTCCCTTTAGCTGGGTTGGGCTGACCTTACCGAGAACCGAGTTGGGCGGACTTTCAACAATGGTGGTTTCTGGACATAAGTCAGCTATCTCCACTTGCATGTTCATATTTGTCAGTCCCAGGGGTCTGGGGTATGGGTATGATGGATGCAATGTATTGTTCATTCCTTTTGAGACATTCTCATTGTCAAAGGTAGATACGTCCCACACAAAAACTGTCTCTCTTTGCCTGCCCGCAGTACAGTTGATAGCTTAACTGGATGGAGGAATATACCATTCTTGTTGAAATATTTTGCGACATGTTTTCTTTTCCCATCATACCACAAATACATTCCTGTCATTTTGTGGACATTTTCCCACTTTTCAATACCAGCAAAAACTGTAGGAATTGTTATCTCAACAAACACGTTGAACTTTGAAAAATGTTCCATGAAATATATCACATCATTTTTAACTTTTCTTGGAACATATGCAATGTCCGAAGCTGTGTGCAATAATCCATCAACCTTTTTAGTATTTCTTGCTAGCATCTGAAGAAAAATGTCAAACCGACGTTTGTCTAAGACTTTTGATGCGTTTAGGGCAGCTTGATACATTTTCAGGCCGACTCTTGGATGTTTGAACCAACGCCACTTCGTCTTCTTGGACTGTTGCAGTACTGTTGCATCAACGAGCCAAAGTTTATCAAATGGAAGATTATGCAGATTCCAAACATTGACCAACGTATCATCGCCGATGTAGAGATACCCATCTACATTATAATTAATTTTCATTGCTTGTGTCAGACAGTTCTGGGCAACCCAACCATCACCAACATCAACTTCAATAAAGGAGACATGTTTTGTAAGGTGCTTTGCGTTTGCATCAAAACGGTCTTTCCTCGGACCACAATATAAGATATTTGGAAAATGCATGCTATAAATAGTCTCCAGGAGATCTAGGTTCTGGTAGTGGGGGAAGTTAAAGACAACAATCAGTAGAATGTTGGAGAAGGTGTGGATAGTCATTGAACTGTCAAATATTGAAACATTATATGGGTAATTCTTGCAATATGATGCCGATTTGGTTAATCGAGACAAAACGGCTGTCTTTTGTATTTCTTGGGAATATGTCAAAGGAGGTGTTTGTTCTGCTGCCCAGAAAACAACGTTGGACATTTCGCCTGTGTTCCTGGTTTGATGTTGAATCCTTTTATTTACAATTGGAAGGGTTTTGCCAGGTATAGACCCAAGTGGAACTCTTTTAGGTTCCTCATAGCCAATGGTATTGAGGTCTCTTATCCACATTGAAGTCAGGATCACGTCACTTTCCTTCCAAAAATTGTTCTCACACATATCTTTTGAGAGTCGTTTCAAACAGTCAAAAAATGACTTGTCTGCTCCACATCTCCACTTGGACAAGAAGGTTACAAGGCGTTCTGTTTGGAAATAGAGATCCTTTTCGTCATTTGCATCAATGAGGTAGGAGTGGGAATTCCTCTTCTGGAAAGCATTTGGTGGAAAGAATCCTAAGTTTCCTCCCATCTCCCACAGAAGTCTCTGAGCCCAGTAGCCTCTCCAGATGTCACACACTCGGAACGTTGTTGTAGTTGGAATCAGGAGTGCCCATAATGCATCATACAGGAAAAGGGTATTCTGGGAATTAAAGGGTGAGAACACCCCAGCTGGGACAATTGCTGGTGGAGCTCGGTCATCAAAGGTCACATTGATTTGAGAATGGGTCTGTTTCCGGGTCAGTCTAAAAAGGGCATCCACATCAGGATCACCATTCACAACACCCTGCTGAATGGACGGGGTTTGCCAGTGATTTAGCTCATACTCCAGTGTGATATTTTCTCCTACTGAACCAAGTGGATAACCTCTTGGCCACAATGTTGGCTGTCCAAAATGGCGGTAAGGGTTGAAGAGCTTTTCTCCTTTATACAAGAGACCCCACATTGTTGGATCCAGAATGAACTGTTTCAGTAAATCGAGTGGGCGGTTGTCATCATCAGTTTCATAAATGATTTGTGCGCCATGGGCTATTGCAAACAGATATCCAACTGTTTTTCTTGCATAGCTCCGCTCTGGAAGATGAGAGGTCGTCTCAAAACCAAGCCCATACTGATCGTCTAAGCTCAGAAATATACAATTTGGGTACCTGAAAGGAGGAATGGTTTACATAAATACCAATATGTGACGGATTCCTTGCTTTTAAAAACATGTATTGATCTACGAAACATCCTCCAATTATAGTTTATAAAGATATGATGCCCGATTTTAAGCATGTCTTCAGTTAACCAGTGCAGTTACTCCACTGTATCTATTTTATCCTTCTGTAGCAGTGAATGAGGGAGTTAGGGGTTAATTGCTTTTAACAATATTGCAGATATATCACAGCTTAATGTGCTGAAAGCCACGCTCACGGGTATTGTGATGACAAACTAAGGCCCATAATCGGGATCTGAACGTTCCTCAATCATTAAAGCTTTGTTAAATTCAATACAATTTTTTTTGCATATAAAATAACAAATGCGACAAATGGTAAATACAGCCAGTTTAGCTCAGTGTATGTAACTCGCTCAATATGACCCATTGCTATTCATTCATAAATACAAAGCACATTTTGTACAGAAATTCTACTTCGAGCCTGGAGGATCGTAGTGAGTAAAAGCATTGGTGAGGTCCATGCAAACATATTGTCCGTTTCAGGATGAATGACAATATATTTCAAGACCAGACCATTGCGATCAAAAGATAGTGGGCAGCAGTCCCCGGTCTGCACGCAGTAATTGATTATATATATAATTAGAGACTGAACAACAAGCTTCGTGGGATTATGGATTATCTGTATAAAGAATCATGTTGATCCCGCGCCTTTGAATCATGTTGATTTACGCACATCTGTCCTGTGTAAATAAATGCTGTAATTCCGAGTTTTGAGTAGTTAGTCTATCTATAACATATTGATAGAAAATGAAGAAAAAGAATCAACCCTACAAATACACTTCACTAAAGACAGCCTATTGTTCAAATGACGTAATATAATCAAATTGTGACGTCATGAACAATGGATCACATACCGTATTTTTCTCGGGAATGAAGCACTGTGGCGTCAATTGACCAATCAGCGTTGAGAATCGGTAAGATGCAAATGTCCAAATATGGAAAAGCCATAACACACGATCAGCCCACCCTTATTTGTAATATTGATAAATCGCCGACAGTAACAGTGAAATTATATATGTGTATAACCCTCAGGTCTATGAACAAGTTAATGCAAGACTGGAATCTTATATTCCCTTTTAGATTGTAGTGATGGTTACCTCCAGTCCCTTGGAGTCTTAGTGTCCCCGACAACAACAACCTTCCAGCCAGGTATCCCTGCCAGGAACTTGATGTCTGATGTTGGGTAGGAGATCGTTGTCACAACTATCCACCGATTTGACCGAACTGTGCTGAACTTGTTTGTCACTCTGGAAAATACAATGAACTTGTGTCTTGCATTCTATAAGAACTGTGTTGATGAAATTATATGTCAGTATATGTATACTCTCCACAGAAAGTAGAGGACTTTGAAATATAAATGTTATGATGGGTGGTCAGGTGAAAGACCAGCTTTGGAAAATGACTGTAAGAGAACGGTTTCGGAACCAAAATCTAAAGCTCCCAAGCACCTGAAACATTGCATGTGGACCAAGCAATTCCTTCTTGCACGGGGGTAAGAGGTCAATTATACAGTGTGATACTTAAGTGAAAGGTAGTTAATCTCACTGAGCCATTAGTATTCTTCATTTTCATTGTCCACAGTAACACGTAAGAGCTGTATTTTTTCCTTCATGCAGTATTAGTAGTATATATTTTGGAGCTACCCCACCTTCCGTGGAAGGTGCCTTAGGAACATTCATGAGCCTCGTGTTATGCTAATAGACATGCAGGACGTCACAATGAGAATGGAGTCATTATGCATTAGACTGTTAAGAATGCGAAGAATGCGGCCTTTGTTATAATGTCTTAGTGGGGGCACGGGTGGCCCAGTCGCCTAAGGCGCAGCGATTTGCTGTGTAGAGTTGCGTCCCTTGGGCACGCCAGAAACCTATGATTCTTGGTTCGAATCCCAGTTCACCCCGATTATGTTTCTAGGTTTGTCAGCACTATACCCGTGCTCGTTGGTTTCACCGAAGTGGTAAACGTCTGAGACCTGCATCAGCTCGGGCTTTCCTCCCACATTAAGCTGACATGCCGTGATATAACTGGAATACTGTTAAAAGCGGCGTTAAACCCAACTCACTCACTGACTCACTATAATGTCTTAGTTGAGGAATTCTTTAGGAATGCCAGCTATTTGGAATGTAGTCGGTGTAGATTCCTTCAGATGTATACTAGAATGATCGTCATCAAATGGAATGTCACCCTATCGTGAAAGAATGAAACAGTCCTCGATCTCTTGATATAGCAACTCAATGAATACGTAGAATGTCGTCATTGAGACGAAGAGGAGAATGTCCTCATTCACTATTTAATCATCACAGTCGACTGCGAGGAAATATATATATTTTGTTTTTGCTTACAAAATACAGACGGACCTTTCATTTTTGGATGGAAAAAATCTGATTCAACCAATACCATCAATCATTTTCACTAGAATTAATGAATGAAAAAGAGTAGAGTTTTAAAAAAAATAGTTCTCTACTTTATTCACCCCGTGATATATTTTGTTGTAAAAAGTCAGTCTTATTCTTATTTTCAATCTTAATTTAACCAACTCTGAAAGATTTCCTTCACTCATATCCTGCCCCAAGTTTCCCATCTAAACCCTAAATCTGACCAAACATGTTCTTCTTGAATTATATCTAGTTCACATCACATATTTTTCACATAATATATGATAAATGAATGTAAGTATGTTGTAAAAGCTAGGTTGAAATGAAACATCCCAAGTCCTTATTAAGGATACATGAAGAGTTTCAGAATATTGTTTTCTCTACGATAGTGTTTTCCAAATCCTGTTGAAATTCACGAAACACATATCTTCCATATAGCATGTATCCCTTATTCCACACGGTTTTTAGAACTTTTACCCACCTCGACCCTATACTATGATATACAACCATAAATGGTCTTATAACCGTCCCCCCTTATGGTAACCCATGTTTAACTTACAGTACCCTGTTTAGAGATAATACGTTAGTATTTATCATTTTGAAAATGGTACTCATTGAATGACTTGGAATGTCACTCAGAATAGTTTTTTCCCAAAATTCCAAGTTTTATATATATGTTGAATTGCTGAGCGAAGTGGAATGTCACTTTCAATAGTTTATCAGGAATTCAAAAAATTTCTCTGGACTGAAGTGGTGACCAACCAACCATGCAGACTTGTCTCGTTGGTAGCAAATGGTCGTTAGCTTAAATCCTTTTCATCCAACGGAATTATAATGCATTTAAATGACATGCACCAAACGTTTCAAGGGTTAAAAGAGCGCACGAACCCTTAGTTTTTCACAAGAAGTTCAGCTTTAAAAGCGAAATGATCTCGGCTCGTGACACATGCGCATGTAGGCACTGCTACTGATAAGACCTATGAAAATAGACAGGAAAAACAAAACTCTCAGTTTACAATCAGACGTCAACGATACAGTCAGTCACGTCTTTTTATCTTAGTTTCTCTCAAATTTAACAAACGTTGCCAAGGTATTAGTAATATGAATTTGTAATCAAAGAAAATTATGTAAATCGTGAAACACTGTCTACTGTTCACGACGTTTTGTAACATACATGATCACTCGTTTTCTTGTCCTTAATATTTGCGTTTTTCTGTTTCAGCAACTAGACTTGTTTGTAGTTTTCTTATGTGGGTGTTATTGCACTTCAGCATGTCGTCCCCTTTTACCACCCCTGTTTATACCTGTGTGTTTTGTCAGAAGGTATACACTTCCAAACGAGCTTTAGTTAGGCATCAGAGAAATTGCGGGCCTTTGTCTCAAGGTTTTACATGTAACACCTGTTCCAAAAGTTTCAATCGTAAAGACAATTTAGATTCGCATGCGAAAACGTACCATTTACATGACAGAGATAATTTGATGTGTCAATTTTGTCATACCGTTCTTCCGATCTATACCACCTGTAGAAGTCATCGTGGTTCAAACAGTACTCAATCCGCGAGTACTAAAGTGCGCATGGAAATGAAAAAAAAAAATGTTTTGCTGGATTTAATAATCGACGCAAAGCATTACGAAGATTTAAATACGAAATAACAAAACAACTGGAAAAGTACTAGTCTGGATTTGCTAGTTTTATCTCAGTGCTCAATACAACATGTACTTTACAGGAGGTAATTTGTAAGCACTTTCAACATTCAAAAATAAAACTAATTCCAAATTGACATGGCAGAAACAGGCTATAGGCATTATGCAAATTAGCCTGGAAAAAAGTTATCAAAACAACAATAAAAATAACAGCTATGTTTATGTACATAATAATAATGACATGTAAGTTGTTGTTTAAGAAGGGAATATGTTATTTTGACGATGATTCACTACTCCCACAATGCCACTCACAAATCACTAACCACTGACAAATCCCATGCACGTGGGTTTCAAGCACCTGTTTTCACCTGTCGTCAAGGTGTCATAGGTCATGGACATTCACCTTGATCTACTAACACCTGGTTATGCTCAGTTTCACAATAGTATGTTTTGTTCATATTTTTACACACTTTTACGTGCAAAAAGACATAAAAACCTTTGATACACTGTATTTGTGCCAAGGCCCAATTAGTACTAATTGAGTTGTTTGAATATTTATATATTTTGTATATTAACTGCATTTATGAAAAATCTGAGATCGAAAAAACAGGGTTTTTTTCAATTCCGTGAGTACTTTAGCTCTGCTTCTACCAATCAAACGTTTAATTGTAGAACGTGTTCCAGATCTTTTCCTTCCTCGAAAGCTCTCACGTCACACTTAAAACGAAACCATCTGTCTTCTCAAACTGGTCGTTTGGCAGACTCGGCAGCCAAACGCCGGAGACCCAACGAGGCTCCGCAGGGGTGCTATTCTCGACAAGCATTAGGAAGCCGGGCTAGGGAATATGATATAATTCCTCAAGGTCGGGAAGGCCACGATCCATATGTCTATTCATTGAAAATTCAACCCAATGTAATTCAACATTGAGAATCTGAATTGGCGCAAAAACGTGCCATCAAATGGGGCTTATGCGTCAATTCTAAACAGAGTGAGACTGGACCAACAGGCGAGAAAACTTATGTCACGCCTTATTTTAGAACTAGAATGGAACCGGCTACTCTAGCCGACGATTTAGACGCGCAATTCTTATCATTCATGAATGAAATCATGAGAGATTTAGACAATTTTGAAGGGGGTAGTTCCAATTTTAACTTTGAACAGGTCATCAGTGTGAAATTATCCGTTGTGAAATTTCAACCTTTTCGCCTGTCTTCCTACATTCCCCTTTCCTGTCAGCTGCAATGCAAACGTTCTCTGTTGAATATTACAAACACAGTGGGCGAGAAATGTTTTCTGTATTGTGTACTGGCTCACCTGTACCCTGTTGGGTCAGAGCATGAGCGAGAACAAGTGCATTGTTACACGGCACATGAATCTAAAATTCATGTCAAGAGCTTTAACTTTTCCATGCCGTTGAAAGATATCGGTCGTTTTGAACGTATGAATCAGTTGGCTATAAACGTGTACGGGTACGAGGAAGACACCGTGTTTCCTGCTCGTATTAGCGATCAAAGCGATCTTGTGGCAAAGGAGAGGGTGATAGATCTCTTACTTCTGACGCCCGATATCGATGATGGAGAACCATCCGATGATGGTGGGGCCTCACTTCGTACTCATCACCAGTTTGTCTGGTTTGGTGAGACGAGATAATAATCATCTAAGCAAACATATCTGTTGCAAATGTTTGTGGACGTTTACTTCGGATCACAGTTTAGAAAAGCATAAGCCCTATTGTCACCAAAAAGCTCAGACAATCAAAATGCCCGAGCCAGATAAAGCCGTGAGAGAGTTTTCGCTTTTTCATATGTCAAAAACCCAACGGACCACATTTGTCTTCTATGCCGATTTTTAATGTATTCTCAAACCATCATGGTGGTGGTACCCAACACATTCACATCACGTGTCATGTGGCTATGTTACAAAATCGTATGTAGGGTTGAAAAATATTCGAAACCTTTGAAAGTGTTGTTTTTTGTGTGGCGAGAAAGCAGTTGAACTTTTCATGGAAAACCTTTTGGTCGATTACGATGAAATGCAAGATATTTTATAAAACTCCGTCCCTATGAAACTAACATCTTCAGACAGCGAAGTGATAGACAGCACCAGTTGTTGTTATTTATGCGGGTATGAAATCGAATTTGAGAGACATCTCGATCATGATCATTTGACAGGTGCATTTTGAGGGGGGTGTCATTCTTATTGTAATGTGAATTACCAGGAAAACAAGACAATAGTCTGCGTATGTCACAATGCAAGCAGATACGACAAGCATCTCATTCTTCAGGCTGCAGAACTGTTGAAGGATCGAAAACTGTCCTGCATCCCTCATAACACAGAACAGTTTCTCATGTTTCGCATTGATGGTCTGATGTTTCTAGACTATTTTTAGACACCTCACTAGATATGTTGGCCAACAATCTAAGAAACAAAGGTCAGAATCAGTTCGTTCATTTGAAACAAGAGTTTCCTCATGACACGCTGACTCGAAAACTACCGTACTTTTACGAATATGTCTCGAGTTTTGCTGTATTAG